AGGTACATAATTGATACCGGTATGGTCCCAGTTGTATATTGACTCGGAAGGAATGTCATGTTTTTCACCACACTGTTTATTCTTTGTAAAAACTCGTCTTTAATTTCAGAAAATTTGTCATCTGTGAACTGAATTTTTGCCGTGCAACTGCCCCTTCGCTTAACCATATTCATCCTCAACAACACTGACTGGGCCCAGCTTTTTTTCAACGTAATCGGTCCGCCATTACAAGATAGTAGCTGCTCGTCATGGGCACGGACAATGCCCTCCGCAACGGCAATGCAGTAACAGCCCCCGATTTCCTTAATGAACGAATGTAAGTTTGCACGTCGGAATCCAGTTCGTTACCGAGTAAAACTTTTTTACCCGGCTTGCACGGATTCAATTCAGAAATTTCACAGTTCTCGCCGTCTGAAAAATCAAGTTTACGTTTTCGAGATTTGAGCTCCGTGTTGTATTTATCACGTAAATTTCTTACAGTTCTTTCACGTAGTCCTGGAAACTTTGTCTGAAAACGTTTAATGGTCGACGAAGGTCCATGTACACTGGCGTAGTGTCCTATCTCAGTTCTCTCGCTCGGTGAAAAATCACGTACTTTCCTCTCGGAGTTTTTGGTGTATCAAGAACATCGGCCACTTTCTCATTACACTCAGTAATTTTTATAGGCGACATTAATTCACTTAAAGGTCCGGTAGGGTCAGGAAACTTACTTATTGGCTTCAAATATTTCAACAGCGCCATTTTGCTGGCAAAGCATGAAGTGACTGCTAACTACGGGGTATTCACTGACCAATTATCGATACCTGTATACGCAACGAAGCGTGAATTCGGACTCTATGAAGAGGCCTCACAAGGGGTATTTGTATGGGACATTTTATGACGTATTTTTTGCGATTAAGACTTGATCGCAGAATTTCGCAAAAAATAGCACCACGTAGAAAAATCCAGTTATACGGTATTGTAGGGTTTCTACTGACAGCCTATAGGCTCATAGCAGGAAGAAATACTTTGTCCAAAATCCCGCATTTAGTTTGAAGTAGATGTACGTCACCAACCCACCCACCCCCTCCCATTTTGTAAAAACTTGAAAATATATGATAAGATGGCCTAGATTTTTTACAAGATTATGTACACAAAACACAATTCTATCTTTGACATCTACAACGGGCTTCCATTTAAAGACGAAAATGAAAGGAATGACATAGAAACCATATTAAAACTCATGGAGGAGTATTGTGTAGGAAAAACAAACACTATATCTGAGATATACAGTGGCGCCGCGTTTATCCGGACGCCATTTATCCGGACGCTTCACCATCCGGACGATATTTTTTGGGAACCGATTTTTTCCACGTTATTTGCCTCATTAATCCGGAAATTCGCGTTCCGTATCCGGACGGTCAATTTCTACTACAAAACGTAATATTTCATTGAAAAATGACTCGTTTATCCGGACGGCAATTTTTCAAGAAATGACTTTTTCACACTTATCTTGCATTCGTGTTAATTGTTGTAAAAACATTGGCCATGCAGTCAGTTTGAAAGCAGTTACCTGTGACCTACAAACAATAGCGTCTATAATTAGCGTGTGTTTACCCCAATTCAATCACACATTTATCTTTAGTATGAAGCAAAGAATTTAGCTAATACTGTGCATTATTTAAATAATAATCCGTTCAAAATCATATTGCTAACCGTATATACATTGGTAAATTCATGAGAATTTTGGAGAGTTGTAAATAAAATGAACAAAAAATAACGAACGATTTCGTAATGCTCTTTATCATGTCGATTGCGATAGTTTAAAATACGAATCTATTTCTAAAAACGTTAATGTATTTGAAACGCTTTTTTTCCCACAAGACAGTTTACAAAGGTACATAATTGAAGAAATATCTCTATTTAATGTAGTACCGTTTACAAACGTCCATTACTTTAGAAAAGATATATAAAACTGACGTTACGTACAGATGTTGATTAAGTTTTTCAAGGTATTTTTAATGATGGGAATTCAAACTTAGCTTCTGTAGAAAAAATAATATTGATAATCATTAAGATGGCTTGTATTTACGAATGTTTTTAATACTTTGTTTGAGTTAGCTTGCAGTGTTCAGTTATTTTATAGTAACCCTGTGTAATGAATATCTGGGGAATATACGGGGTTAGTTTATATTTGAACATTTTCAATGATGATGCTGAAAAGTTCTGTCATATCATATGAGCTTCAATAAATACAAAATATGGCGAAATAAAACAATAGTAGATCAAAATTTGTTCAGCCCATGAAGTCACATGCCAAAGAGAAGGCGAATTAAAAAAGGAGGTCTCAGCATAAAATTACCCATCCATTTTTTTATTGTGTAAATTTCATTTTAATATATTTTTTCTTTAATCAATTACTGCGCATGCTTTTAAAACAATTAACCAAAATATAATTTAAAAGTTTTTTTTTTCTTTGCTGTCACATTTTAAACAAGAATGTGCATATATACATGCTTAAAGAGGGTTTTTTGAGATGTGATTCAATTATCCGGACGATTCATTTATCCGGTCGATTTTGTTGGGGACAGAGACGTCCGGATAAACGAGGCGCCACTGTATGTTTTCAACAAGCATCAAGAAAAAGGAGAAAACCAATAACTGTGTTAGCATTTCCTGGTAAGACGCATTGTATTGTGTCAAGTATTAAATGTCAAGGAGTGAATTTATGTATTTTACTTTTACTTTGATGTTTCAGCATCTGTGTTATATTTATCAATTTTGACATCTCTCCCCCTCCTGTCCCACAGTATCAATGACGTATTGTGAGTTTTACATTTGGCGTAGAGATAAAAGGTTGAGCATCTGCTGTCTTGAGAATTCTGCCTAAATTAATGTCAACCATCTTTTGATGTTACAATTTCAGTTTTATTCCATTTCATTGGCTATCTTTAGAAATGTGGGAGGAGTTTGGGGAAAAGAGATGAGATTTGTGTGTGTGTATGTTAGTTTTGAGTCTAAGAGTAGAGCTTTAGCGAGTTGAATGTAACATTTTGGAAATTCATGAATAAAGTACCATAGAACATGTAGTGACGAGTGTATTCTTGGAAGGCCTAATCAAATCGTCACAATTGGTGGAGAATCCGGGTATCTTGGATATTAGGGTTACCCGATCGAGGCGATGACTTGCAGGAACTAGAAAACTGACCAGTCAGCAAGGGCTCCGTTATGACAATGAATATAGAGAAGAAAAAAACCTTGAATTCCATCCTCTTTATGTTAACAATGACGATAAAAATCATATGCCCCTTAAAATGTAAAGAACTGCTAAAATAAAAGTAATATTTGTTAAAATGTTTACCTTTATATGCATTAAATGTAGCTGCCATCAGTGATCAATGGTTTCATAAATGTAAAGAAGTTACTACAGCAATAAAATAATGAATTAATCAAAAATGGTGCATTTTAAAGATCAAGTTAGATTATGAACATTATACATGTACAATCATTCAACATGTGCACACAGTTCTACAAATTTAGAATCTTTTAATGTCAACAAAGGTTTGTTTATGGTCACTATAGTACGTCCACATCCCAAAGGTTGTTGGTAATGGTCTATGTGGGGATCCACTTTGGTGTGTTGGACTTTGGAAACTTGAAAAAAAAAACCTTCTTCTTCTAACAATATTACAACTGAGTTGGAGGTCTTGTTTAAATTCATGTTAAAATCTCCTCCAATGATAATTTCCTCTGTGGCTTTGAATGACGTTTTTAATGCAACAGCATAAAAGGGAGACAGTGGAGCGAAGTGGACAGTATAGAAGTAAAATTGTTATATAGCTGTTGTCATTATTTAATGGGGATGTGAGCTGCTATGGCATCTATGTTGCAGTTTATAATCAGCATGTCCAGTTCTTTCAAGGGGAAATTTTTACTAAAAAAGGCAACACCTTCACTTTTTTCTGATGATCTTCCCCTGCTGATGCTGTAACCATATCCCTTCAAATTGCATTGAACACTGGGCTGTTTCCGATATTGCCAAGATGGTAGCCGTGTTGATGTACGAGTCATTTTCAACATCTCTTCTGTGTGTAGCCCAAAGGGACTGTACATTAAAAAAGCACAGAACGTACAATATCAGGTGATGGAACAGAAAGTTGCTGGTATTCTTCCGTTGTGGACGAAGTATGTTCTTCTAGCCTAGTCATTTCCTTTAAAACCATGTCATCTGCTTTACTTAACTTGGGCTTAAAGGTGCTTGGACACAGATTTGAAGTTAATATTTTCTCAAATTTTCTGTAAAATTTCCTGACTTACATGTTGCTATAGCATTTCATACTAAAATATAATAAATATCTTATTTCATCTCGAAGTTATTGAAACTTCAAATTTCTGGACGCGTTTGATATACACATCCTTGCACTTTCACAAATTTTAATTTTATTCTTAATACTTAAGAAAAGTGGCAATTTTGTTGTGTATTAATGAAAAATATCAAAACTATAATCCAGAAAATTCAGCGTAGTAATGTTCGAAAGCAAAACCCACCCACAGTATTGTCAGTCCGTGCTCAGTGGTATGTGCAGACTTTAACAATTGAACACACCCGGTGAATCGTAAACATTAACAATAACAGAGCTCGTGCCCTGTTTACAAAAACAGTTTACGTTTCACGGGTGTATTCAATTTGTTAAACTCTGTACACAACACCGAGCACGGGCTGACGATATTAGTGAGGGGGTTTGCTTTCGCACATTTCTACTCTGAATTTTCTGGATTATAGATGTAATGTTTTTCATTAATACACAACAAAATCGCTTCTTTTCTTAAATATTAAGGATAAATATAGAATTTGTGAAAGTGCAAGGATGTGTTAATCAAACGCGTCTAGGAATTCGTAGTTCCAATAATTTCCAGATAAAATAAGTTTTTAATTATATTTTCGTGTGATATGCTATTGCAATATATAAGTCGTGATATTATACAGAAAATTTGAGAAAATATTAACTTCAAATCTGTGTCTAAGCACCTTTAAAGTCAAGTAAAAACAGCCCTTGCAGTGATGTAGCTCGACTTACAGCGACATATGCTTGTCCTTTAGTTCGAAGTTTCTTGAAAGATGTGACAACTTTGTCTAAAGTAGCTCCTTGCACTTTGTGTATTGTACAGGCCCAACAAAGAACAACTGGGAATTGTATTCTTGTTATTTCTGGGGGGGTGTCTGATCGTCCAGCATTTTGTTTTACTTCAGCTGGACGAATAGGGACTCCACAGTCATAGCCTTGTAGTGAAATTTTTGATGACCGTCTAGGAATTCGGCCTATTTTCCTATTATCAAACTGAATGACAATAGCTTTGGGAAAAGATGATGAAGATTCACTGTGTATTATGTCCAAGATTTTGCCTGTTGCTCCATTTACTAAACCATCCGACACATCAAGATTCTTAGTAAGCATTATTCTGGCATTTTTACATAATGTAAGAGAATATGGCAACCGTCCAATCATTTGTGAAATGTCAAAGTTTTTGACATTTGGAATCTTGTTAATTGATGCAATCTCAATCTTTTCTTCAGTTTGCTTGTTTAACATTAGTGCATTGTGATGGTCGACATCATTTCTTGTTGCAAAGATGTGTAGAGCATCATGAGGATAATTTGGACTAACAGGGAAAATGATTCGAGATTTCAGAGTGCAGATATCACCTTCTGTATACGAAGCAGTACGCAGTCTGTTAAGCATCTCTGCAAATATTCGGTCCTCTCTTTGTCGCATGATCTCTAGCTCTATCATAGCAAAATTTCTCTCCCAAAGTCCTGCCAAAATGACAGCAAGCTCCTCTGGATCCATACTATTGGGGTTCAGTGCCTCAAAATCAAATATCTTGTGTTTGTGGACTGGTGGGAGCTGATAAAAATCTCCTACTGCTAGAATGCTTACCCCTCCAAATAAAGAGCTTGTGTTTTCTACTCCTTTGGCCTCCTGTAATCTGCGATGAATGTGAGCAAACATGGACCTTCCAACCATAGATGCTTCATCAATTACAAGAATTTTTAGTTGCGACATACTGAGTCGAAATGTTGCTAACATAGAGGGATTTGATCTCAGAGAATAATATCTTCCTTTAGAAAGGTGGAGGGCTGCATGAAGGGTAGTTCCACCAATATTGTAAGAAGCTGTTCCTGTTGGGCTGGTAAGGAGTATTGATGGATAATCAGGATTATCACCAGGTTGCTGCAAAATTCTAGAAGCCTGGTGATATATAGCTTTAATGACTTGACTTTTTCCAGTTCCAGCACCTCCTGTAACAAAAAGATAAAACGGAGGAGGTATTTCCTCTCTATTTTTTTGCAGCAACAGTGTCTTTACACCAGCTTATAATTTGTGTGACCACTTGTCGTTATTTTGTGTTAAGACTGTGGATGATCTCTCTCAGCTGCACATCCTTGAGAGCATTAGGTTTGGTTGTGACAACCAGTGTTACAGGTCTTCTAGCAACTTCAACTGCATTTGCTTCCCTTGTATCTTCTTCCTGCATAAGCCTTGCTTCATCAGCTCTGGATTGCTCAGCCTCAGGATCAAGGCAATCCCAAGCATATTGAGGAGGTCCATTAACACCATAGTTTCTCAAAGCATCTTCCAACAGATCACTGTGATGCTCAAGGCGGGCTTTTGTTTGAAGTATCTCATCTCTTCTCATTTCAAACATTGCCTCAAATGGGAACTCGCTATCATTATTCCTCAAGTCTGTTACTTCATCTCGCCATGGAATAAACAGCACAAGTTGCTGGTGATAAAATTTTTCACTCTCCTTATTTACCGAAAACATATGATATCGTGGAATAGCAGGTTTCTGGTATTTTTTCATTATGCCTCTACCATACTTGAGCTTTATTACTTTAGGAAGGGTATCAGTGTCATGTGCACAATCAAGCTCGCTGGTTTTTGATTGCATTGAAGGGCCATACCAGGCAGCAAATTCCCAAAGACAAGAGTTCATTTAGGAGTGGACTATCTGGTCTTTTTTGGTATTATTCTACAATACCTAAGGCATATATATCCGTGTCATCATCTTCAAGTTCATCCAGGAAGGACTGAGGTTTTAAAATACCAATTCTTTCATCAGGAAGATCTGTTGGTATCCATACCATCTTGGAACTGCATCTCTTTAAAGGTATACTCAGTAGCTTCTTGGGCACTTATTTCCCGATTGCTGAGATGAACACTTCCCATTTTTTGTAGTCTGGACTTTACATCTGCATCCTTTAATTCTTTTTCAGCCTCTTTTAACATCTGTGACAGTTCTCGTTTATCTTTAGTTACATAAGATGTTAGTTATACAAGCATATGGATCACACACAAATTGCAAGTCCATGTTTGCCTTCCAAACTTGTAGAATGTCTCTGTTATAACTATTTATGTTCAGACTGCTTGGTTTTCTTCTTAGTACAACAGATTTTCCTGCTTTTGAGTATTTGAGGGCATTATAATAACTTTCTTCTGATACTTCAGCAATGCACAGGACTTGTTGAAGAGACAAATCTGAGATTTTTACTGTATCATCTGTCAGGACATCATTGACCTTTGATAATACTTCTTTTGCAGCAGCAGCTGAAAGGTGGACCATGGAGACATCAGCTTCAGGATTAGACAATAAAGTTTTGTCACTTGGTGGCTTTGGATAATGAAATCTGCATGAAGTGCCATGTTTCCGGCAGGCAACAGAATGAGTGTGCTGCTGTTTACTCAGTACCTCATCATATAACGGATCATCTGCAGGTGGAATTTCACAGGTGATATAACTGTCAATCCAGTTACATATGTCATCTTCTGAAGATGTTTTCAAATCTGGGGCATTTTCCACCCATAAGACTGCATGACAGTGGGGTGATCCACGAAGCTGGAACTCGGTTCTTTGATAAAAATGTGTTACTTTGCCAAGTGGAGCTGCTGTTGACTGGATAACATCTCGAAAAAAATGACAGTAATCTGTGGTCAAACTGTCTAGCTGCCATAACTGGGTTTTGTCGCAACCATTTACACTTTTCCTCATAGGACATATTTCCAATATCTTCTTCACTCAACTTGTGCCCATGTTGTAAAGCAATAGCTTGGATTGTTTCTGGCCACTGTAGATCTGCACAAAACAATGTTAGAAACCAAGTAAAGACACCCTTTGCACGAACCATTGCTAAAAGTCCATACTGAGCACGCTGCCAGTATGATGGTGAGCCTCGCACCTGTTGAAGAAATTGGAAAGCTTGGTCCTTGACAAAAATCTCATGTATACTTTCAGGATTCCTCAAATCACCAACAGTTATGTCCATTCGTCTCGCTTTTCGTAATGCAATATTTAGTGAATACCGTACTTGTTGCTTTTCACAGACATTTAGAGCATAAAACAGATATGGTATTAAGAATGCAAATCTACTGTCTGTGTTCAATATTCTTTGTATGAAATACTTCTTGGCAGTTAGTGCAACATTTCTGGAGTTTCCATTATCATCATCAAAAAATGTAGATTTCCCAGTAGGAAATAAATGTGGAAAGGCCAAGGCTTCACACTATCATGAGTAAGATTACATGACAATTATTCACCTTTCAAATCACCAAATTACGTGTATTCTCTCTGTGTAGTCATGATGTAGATGGGGAAAAGACCCTCAGAAACAAATTCTCCTGATGCGTTTGGTTTGTTTGTTTTAAAACGATGAGACTTTGTTCTTTGGAGGATCAGACATTTTAGCCCAGTCAGTCTGATTTAAGTATAATTTTAATAGGATGTGCAATACCACTTAACCATGTTGACTACCAGTAAGTTATTCACTTTTCAAAATTGATCTAACTTAGTATCTCTGAAGTAAATGATGAGAAATGACAAATTCTCCTGATGCGTTTGGTTTAAATAGTTTCTCCAATTGCCTGTGAAGAATGTTCACTGATACTATGGGTTTTATTCTGGGTCGAGGGATCTGCTGGTGGACGGTTAGTCCCCGATGATCTTTACAGCTCAGTAGCTAAGTACTTCGGTACTAGTTTAACAATACGGACATTTACTTGCTTTGGTAAAATTTGGAAATTTATTTAAGAAATGAATTTAATTTTTGAAGATGCATGAGGACATGAACTACAACGCGTTGTAGTTCATGTACCTCATGAATTTTCAAAGATTAAATTAATTTCTTTTAATTACATTATTTTTCTGATGAGTTGCCCCAAATTACGCCATCCAACCGTCGTTTTAAAGCAAAAATCAGTTTGCACTATAGTTTTGACGTCAAGTAGGGTATTATGACGTAACAATGGAGATATTCATGCTCATCCATGGTAGTTCATGAGAAAATGAACTGTTTTCTTTCTCTTAAGAATCATAAGGGAAATTTATTAAAAATGTCAATATTTCAAAATTAAGGAGTATCTCCCTCATGTATGGCTCTAATCCTTCGACCTCATTGGCATTTTTTCAGCTCTTCAAAGTCTTTTTTATTTAAAATTTTGGATTTCCAACCTTTCGGCAAGAGCATCACTGAAGAGAAAATTTATCGAAATGCGCTTCTGGTGCATCGAAATTGGTACCATATATGATTTACATCAGTATTGGTGTCAAAGCATTTCCTATAAAATATCATTTAATCTAAAAATATGTTGTTTCCCTATTAACACTAGGTACTAAGGCTATACATCTGGTGTGATTTTTTCCCCTAAAATTTATTTATCACTTATATGAAATAAACCATTTTTCCCCAAAATATTTGAATTTGCTGTGTTTTTATATTAAATCCATAAAATTGTTTTTAATGCAACTTTTGTGAATAGTCATGCGTAGAAATATACACGAAGAAACTCGCGCTTAAGTGAAATCGCAGTGAGCTACAGAGACAATAAAAAAATTTGACGGTATAGGGAAGTGAGATATTCGAACATTGAGTGTACTTTTGCTGCTTTTAAATGCAAACAAAAAGAGTGTTTTAAAAATTTCAATTGTGTGAATTATAGGTTTGTAAATCACACAGACTTTTACATAGGAGAAGGAAGCTAGCGTGCTTCATGAAATATGCCTACATGAAAAGCCTGTGATTTTCACACCATAACTCACACAAAGCTTACAAACATTTATAATTAAATATCAGTATTCCTAAAATGGCACGCTGTACCAGTCCGTATTATATATAAGCCTATACTTATTATATCATTCATGCAGAAAACAATCACAAATGATCGTACTGGAGGTTTGTTGAGAACACGGAGACACAAAAATCCTCTTTCTCTTGCTGTTTTGTGTCCTTGTAATAACTCTTCTCTCAACTTTCTTAATATGCAAACTTTGTTTCTTTGCTTTCACACTGGTAACAATCGTTTTAAACGTTTCGCTTGTGTCTATTATCCTTTTCAAAAATCTGTAACATGCTGTGCAAACATAGGATCCATATTTTTGTTCGCTTACAAATGGAGTATTATAAACTTTGCTGACAATTTCAAAACCGGGTCCCTTGTCACCTGATTTCTTTATAATATAAAATTCTTGGGGAGATGAAGTAGAGCAGGACACAGTCCGACATATACAATCAATTGAATAGTCGTAGTTTGATTTCAGTGGGGTCGCCAGTAACCATAACAGGGCCGTAGGAAGCAATTTCAGGTTGTTTTTTTTTTTTTGGGGGGGGGGGGGGGCACAGCCATACATTTTCAGTTGAGGGGGCACTATCAACTACCAAAATTTGTTGACAAGAAAAAAAAAAAAAAGCTAATCCAAATATCGGCAAGATTATTGCCCCCCCCCCCCCCCCCGGTTCCTACGGCCATGCATAATGATGAAAGTAATGGTCTCGACCGTGATAGGCTCTGCTCGTCATCTATTTACGGAGACAGCCGAGCGTCTGGTTGAACGAGTGCGGTGACACCTCTTTTTGTAGTCGGTACGAATTTACTTCGTATGATTTAACCATATTTAAACCTTAAGTTAAACCTTAAGTTACCGTATTTGGTTCGTCTTCAAGTGATCTTTAAATGAATTATGCGCCCTTGATGTGCAACAAGAATTAAGGGGAGAAGCTTTCTTTCATTATATATATATATATATAAATTAGTTGATTGCACAGTATATCTATGCCTCTACTGGACATTTTCGGTTGGGTGAACTTCTACAGCTGTCAGCGACTATGCAAGTCAAGTAAATTTTATTGGTAGTCGGCATATATATACAATATAACATAATAACATGAGCTATGATAGCTCTTTAACCGACTTTAACAAATTTACATAGATAAAAGTTAGTAAAAGTATACATAGTTAGTAAAAAAAAACATAATTTAAATAAACCATAGGAAATAAGCACATATACTAGCAATAACAGCAGAAATTGTAATGCACATGTATAACTATCACAAGTAAGAAAGAATCTGACAAAGCACAATACAGAACACACATTTACTATCACTGATCAAGCTAATGGAAAGAATAAAAACTAAAGTAAGCGAAGGAGCACAAATAACATTGACATGTATGACTGTCACAAGTAAGTACAATCACATAGCACATTTACTAGCACCGACAGAAGAGAAAGACCGAAAACACAAGGAAAGCAACATAGACAGTAATTATACATATGACTAGCATGCATATGGACAATCACAGAACAGGAAAATAAAACAAAACAGAATATAAAACAAATTCATATTAGAAATAAAAAGATACACCACAGACGAACACTTAAAAAGGCTTCTCAGACATAGGCAGCATGGACTGGTGTTTACATAAACTACATTTACATGTCTTGATTTCCACACCAAGTAGATATATAGTTTTTAAATAAATTAAAGGATGTTGTGTTTCGAATATCATTAGGAAGAGTATTCCATATCCTTGCTGCCTCATTTTCCATGCACCCATTCTCAATAAAAGTGTGCATTGGAGATTAGAGTTTTGAAAAAATAAAGTTGTTGAATTAATAGATTTTTGTTATTAATCTAAAATTACTAGAGTTTACAGATTCCGAATGTATGTTTTCTCACGTAAATAATCAACATATTTTAATTATGCTACAAGGAATATAGACCTTTAATCCAATGAAAATTGCTCGAAAAATGTACGTCACCATTAGAAGGCAAACAGAAAGTGAACATTATTCCAAAAATCTCTTTCATATTATGTTTAATTTTTTTTTTAGTTTTCTTTGATATTTGTTGTTTTTTAGAAACAAACATATCATGAAATATCGGTGGAAGTTTCTTTTTTTCCACAAGGAGATGAAAGTACTAGTATTTTTTATGTTGAATTTTTCATTCAATTTATCTTAAAACATATAATGATCAAAAACTACTGAATATTCATTTGGAAAATTAAACAATAAACAGTGATTTTTCTGGCAAGGAAAGAAAATATACAGAAATATTGACCCCTTTACCACAAAAATATTGACAGCCCTTCCAGAAATATTTAACTGGAAAGCACATGTCAAAAGTAACGTACATTTCAAAATTAGGTCCCAATCTGAAACTTGAAAAATTCTTACACAGACTGCAATGTTGATATAAAATAAAGTGCATTTTGTCGTTTCTTTTATTTTTGTCATCTCTTGCTGGCCACTGGAAAATTGCTTTTTTTTCTCCATGAAAATAACTTCCAATTCGTCATCGGAATGGTCGATTTGTAGAATTTTTGCGATATACCAGCCACTATCATACTTTGCAGCGATATATTCCCCCTCGATAAGGTTAATCTGGCTTCCATTTGTATTTAATGGTTGTTCTTTTACCTTGTCTGTTCCTTCAGCTAATTGTTCATCCACTTCTGGGTTTTTCCTGCGATTGTTGACCCGATTGTTCAAGCTCTGTACTTTCCACCCATGGTCAGCGTTTGGATCCTCACCAAAGAAACATTGTTGACAGTAGCAGCTCACCTCATTCCAAGCTACTACGGAATTTCCTTTCCCGATTAGAGAATGGACTTTGACAGTAGCAGCTCACCTCATTCCAAGCTACTACGGAATTTCCTTTCCCGATTAGAGAATGGACTTTGAAGGTACCTTGCAGAGGCTTGATATTTCAAGCAGAGAGAATATTTGCAGCTGAACTACATTCGTCAGATGATACAAAGAGAAATTTGATTCCTCTCAAATTCGATTCCACAGCCCACTTTTAAAAATCATCTGCATGTTGGATAACTTTTCTGCCACTCCTTTCAGCTTCATCTGCCATTCTCTTGGTGGTGCCCCCAAGACCATCACAGGGGCCCTTTCCATGCCCCGCCTCAAAATAATTCCAACGCGCATTAATGCCACATTCCAATATGCAGATTGGATTTCTTCACTGAATTTGCAAGCCTAATTTTCAGCAAAATCCATTTGTACAATGAAATGATCCTTCGGGAGTTTTTCCTTTAGACTTTTTATTTCCGGATACTGTCTTCCAACTCTGAAAACATGGCTTTCAAAATCTCTTACTTGTGCTTCAAAGGTTTCTATGAAGGAACTCCTTTCAGCATTCATTTCTACAATTCTTGTAACATTTTTTGTCTTTCCCTTCTCTGTGACTTCAGTTCTTTTCCATTGACTGTACTTTACCTGAGCTGGTAGCTTATCTTGGAGTGTGGGTTATCATTTTGCTTCAAAAATGACTCTGGATTTAATGGTACCTGCATCCCATTACTTTTTAGACACCGAAGCAGTAACGCCATATTCTGATGTTTTGTGCACAAACAACAGCTTCTTGAAATCATACTCGTGTTGAGTATGTGTTTAGGTCTCATTCTGCAAAATGTTGCAAGTGAAAGTTCTACATTAGGATATTCCGATATGAACTTCTGATGCAAGTTGGATAAGTAATCTGTGAGTACTCGCGTTTGCATCTTTGTACCTGATTCAATCTTTTTCACATCTGCTTTACCCGGCTGTGCCCTACTGTTGTCATCTCTTTCAAGGAAAGATATTACTTCATTTTTGTACCTCTCTTGAACTCTTCTTCTTGATTTTCTTCCTATATCTATCCATTTCTTTATGGTATGCCCAAGTTTGTTTCTATTCATCCCTGTTTTACGTCCTAACCACTTAAGTCCCTTGTATCGTTTAAGTGTGTTTCCAGATGCAATAGCTTGTAACATTTGCTTCTTCACAGTTGACGACCCAGCTTTCAGATTTGCCTCCTTAATTTCACAAAGCAGAGCATTGCCTAATACTGCCTTTCCTCTGTTTGGGGATATACCTGCCCCTCTCAAATCTCGGTCTGTTTTACTTCGTGGTGTTTTAGGTGACATACCTGCCTGCTGACGTTTTTGTAATCGCTCGTTTCTTTTTTTGAAGCATTCTAATCTTCTTTTTCATTTCATAAGTTTTCGTCTCCAGATGATTTATTTCTCTGTGAGCTTTTGAAACTGCTCTACTTATCCTCTTTCTAGATGAACTTTTTTTTGAGGTGTTGAAATTCATTCTTACAATCAATTGCCCTTCTTCACCTGTAGACGTCATATTACTTTCATAACCACTTGTCTCTCCTACTCTGTCCTCTTCTGCTTGCAAAACTAATGCTTTTCTTTTTTCACGATGTTTCTTTACTCGCTCCGCATTCTGTTTGTTTCTTCTTTTTCTTTCCTTGCTTGACAACTCTGCTGCTGGAACATAATATTTCATTCTCCTTCATCTCTCCTTACGCAAATAACTTTCACCCTCCTTGGCTTTCTTTCTCGATCGATATGCTTTTTGTATTTCAGCTCGACTCAGTGGCATCGTTCTATAAAATATTACAACAATTAGAACTGAGAAAAGTGTCATTTTCAACAGTGATATGTTTATTGCTCATTGGTGAAATGTACGTTACTAATAGAAAAATATAATGTATTATAACTTGATTGCAATTAAATACGTGTTCGCCAATTCAGATTAGTTTTTCATCGTCAAAACATATCTAAAATTTAAGAATATTAAATATGAATCCTATAAATCATCTTTGCTTTATCATATAACTACTCGTATTTCTCTTAATTAAAACACCTCTTTATTCTCATGTTCAAATAATCAAATAATCAGATTTATCTGAAATGTTTGTGTATAATATAAAACAAACGTTAATATCAAAGTGTTATTTCAAAAAAAAATAGTAAGATAATTTTAGAAAAACAAAATAGATGATATTTAAATCGTCTTAATATTTCGAAATGTACGTTACAAATTGTATCGTACATTTCCCCGACTGATGTTCCATAACACACAAACTCCGCATCATTCATCACGTTCTGGGTTGATGCTTAACCAATCACAAAATATGTACAAGAAAACATATTGACGCAAGCGTCAAATGGGCCGCAAAAAACATTTTTGTATGAAGCATTATTGGTTGTTTATATAAGAAACACACTACCAGGAAAAAAATGATGAGTTGTACTTATTTTTTTATGGTAAATTTTAATATAATTTCAGCAGCACATGCTTCGAACTTAAAATTTCTATTTAAAATTCAGTTCGTTACTGTAAGCACTTCTAACGGTACTTTTATGACCATTTCCAAGATATGCAGTAGTAGAGAAAACATTGATTTGAACGTAATTCCAATACAAACTTTAACTCATAATTCATCTATTAGAGAAAATGTATTTTAAACAATTTGTTTGTGGCATTGTCTTGAAATTAAACTTAATGCCCAGGTTTAAATGTTTTCAAAGGACCACACAATAAAATAGAAATAAATTATTTTAAAAGACTGTCAGTCAAGATCATGCTCATCCAAAAAGGGGAAGAAATTGTGCACAATGGTAAAAGTAAGCCAAAAAATTTTCTCCTGGAATTAAAAATCTTGTTTACACTTCTGTTTACATTTCTTTCTTTCTTTCTTTTTTTGCATGTGGTTTGAAAAGAATGAAAAATGAACACAAACTTTCTACAACGAAATTTATTGTACATAACATGACTAGATTACATAAAAATTTCACACCTCTGTGACTAGAAAACACAAAAAAATAAAAAAGGAAACTCAACAGGTTGAAATAATGTGACCATAAAAAGGGACTGTAATACTTCAATGTACTAAATTAAAAAAAAAATCACAAAAAAAACATTAGGTTCAAATAATGAAGAAAATTATGCATACTGTGTACACCCGTACTGTTCGTAACTTATTTTGGACTAAAACAAACATGACAACCACTCTCTACTGTTTTTACTTGTCCATTGGAATTGTTTCGTAAAACTATTTCTACATTTTGATTCTTAAACCGCACATTACTTCCACAGAAAAACTCAACACCAGCATTGGAAAAATACATAAACGTACTAAATTAAAAAAATAAACGCAAAAAAACAATAGGTTCAAATAATGAACAAGATCATGCATATTGTGTACACCCTGATGGTTTACACTTATTTTGAACTAAAAAAAATTACAACCACTCTCTAATCCAGTTCAGAAATAGTAAACGGCTCAACAGTGTTTAATTTCACTTTGTGATATTGTAAAAGGTGTTGTTTGCACTGATGCAAGATTTGAATCTGATTGGCAGCCTCGAAATCAACATATGAATGAGTTCCTCTTTAGTATCAACTTTCAGCTCCTCTTGTAAAATATTATCAAGCATGCTTTTAAAAACGGTTGTCTTCAGATCTTGTTTTTCTCCTTTTTTGAAGAGGAATGTTACTCTAAATGTTTTCTTAATACTGCTGGTCCGTTTGCATACTGGGCACTCTCTGTCTACATATTTTTTCTGTCTACAAGCTAAAAATAAATAAATAAAATTATCTAACCAGAATTTATCTCATATTGCCAGGTGGTATACCTTTTAAACACAGATTCATTTTATTTTGTTTCACAAGTACAAATAATATTCTACAGGGAAAAAAAGAATGCTAATTTATAATTTTTATACTTCTGTAAAATTCTAATCAATTTACCTGCATTGTCACAACAGATGTAAACATCTACATCAGTGAAGTCAGTAAGAACAATTTCTTCAGGCATAGTATTTTCAAGTTCTTCTGAGAAATCTGGATCTAAGTTTGCACAATCCATATCTTCTTCACCTAATTGTACATTGTTGTCAGCAACAAACTTCAAGATAAAAACATAACTTATTAAATCTTTGTTTCAAAAAAAAAATTACAAAAAATATCTGTTTAATTTATATATTACCTCACAGGAAGATGTTGGGCAAGTGGTTAGCTGTTTTCGTGTTTGAAACACTTTGGGATAAACATTTGTGACTTTTACTGTGTCCCCAACATTAAATGGACTCAAGACATTCTTGTTAAATAAGCAAACTTTGGCCACACTGGTGCTGTCTTTTATCATAATTGATTTCACAGCTAAACTACCTTCTTGCCGATACTTCAATGGTGAAACCTAAAACATGTACACATTGGACTCTTAAAGTATACATGCTTCATTAAAACATGATAGAAAATTGTCTTTTATGCAAATATTTTTCTTATCAAAATACACTGTTTTTAATCAAAAACAATTGTGCAATATGGTTAAATCTATGGGTAATGGCATCAATCTTTGAAGTGAATTGATCTTGTTTTAATTACCTTGAATATCTTTCCAGTAACTTGTGATTTGTCTGGTGATTGCAGTGCATCCTTAAGTGGTTTTGGCTCTCCTTGTGCTGGAGAATTTTCAGGTAGAGTTGGTATATCTACTTCTTGACTGGTTTCAACTGAAGCTGCATATGCAATAACACTTTTCGAAGTTATCCACAAATCAGTGCTCGTTTTCTTCAGTGCATTTTGAAATTTAAAGGTCATCCCCTCCTTGATCATGTCAAACCTTGCTTTTTGATATATTCTGATTTTGTAAACTTCAGTGCCTTTTCCACCAATTATGTTAAAAAAATGCATGGTCTTGTTTGACGATTTGTTGAAATAGGATTGAAGTTCTTTTGATTTCTTTAAAACCTTTAAGGTTACTGTCACTGTTTCGTCTAATGATTCCTGAGACTAGAGAGAAATGATAATATTTTACAAACATGCACAACACTTTTAGCTTACTATATATGCATTTTAAGCTAATAAATCAGACTGGTGTCATTTACATACTGCAGAAGTACATTATTTCACATGGGATTAATTTATAAAATGTACATGATAACAAACTTGTCAAAGCCTAGTTCGAAGTACATTAAAAACTAACAATGACAATTCAACCCACGTACTGAATAGAAATTTTAACTGCGCAAAATTGGGACCTTGTGGTAATAAGTACATATACAGTATATACAAAATTTTGCAACTAAAGAGCAAAGATTACTGTGGAATCATTGTTCATGAAACAATATTTGAGGATTACGTCACCAAAATTTTTCCTCCCCCCTAAAAAGAACTTTTTTAACCTAGCTGCTAATTAAATGCACTGTATACAAATTACCCACAAAATTTCATCAAATGATCTGGTTAAATTTTGGTTATCCACAGATATTAAATCCAAATAATTTAAAATGATTCCATCGTAAAATTTGCAGTTTCCATGTCAATTATAAAAATGACAATACTTAAAATAACTTAAATGTTGTATAATTTTAAGTGTTGTTAGCTGAGAACTTACAATAAACATTTATTTACTAATATTCTTCAGCCTTTCATATTCTATAATAACATCATCTGAAGCTCTTATTTTTGAGGGATCAAAGTTTATCAAAATCAAGCCTGTGCTAGAAGTTACCCTGCTTAGTGCAACATATGCCATACCAAATTCAAACACAGTACTACCTAGATCATTAACTGCTGAGTTTAAAGAAATTCCTTGAACTTTATGAATTGTGCATGCCCAAGATAACATTAAAGGAAACTGTGCACGTACTACATGTCTACCTCTGTAAACAAATTTATGCTCATATGGTTTTATTGCAACTTAACTATGAAGAGTGAATTGTTGTTTCATCATTACTCTTCCAATTTTAGGATCATCAAACTTCACATATATACATGATGGCTTATCTTTGTCATTTGTAAAAGTAATATTCACAATTGTTCCAATAGCTCCATTAACCAAACCATTTTCAGTTTTAATATTCCTCATAAGCATAAATCTTGCTCCAACAGACACCATCAACAAGTTTGTTAACCCTCCAGCAATACTATCATTAGAAGGAATATGATTCTCTAAGACTTGTCCCATGAAATTGTCATCTTCTGTTGAATAAAAATGATCAGCATAGATTCTGATAGTATTTCCCAATTTACTTAGTTGTTTATTATTATACATTTCTACTTCCTTTCGTGTGGGATAAGTATGTAAAAAATTAGAAAACTTAATTTCATCATATTGTAATCTAGTTTTCTTTTGGATACATCATTTTCTTGAGACATACCAATACGCACTCTATTCAAAAGCAAATAATATGATAAATCGGAACTTTGCCTGTTATTTTCCTTCAAGAACATAGGTTGAAATAAATGCCAAAGTAACTCATTCTTGAATGCAAAATTTCCTTTCACAGGTCGCAACTGAAAAAAATCTCCAACAGCAAATATATTGCATCCACCAAATGGAAGGTCACTATCTTTTATTTCTGATAAACGCCTGCTAATAAATGTTAACATGTCACTACTGATCATACTTATTTCATCAATGACAAAAGTTTGAACATTTTCAAATTCTTTACAAACTTGTTTTAATGTGTAACTAGATAAACTTGCATAATTCAAATACTGTGCCACAGGAACTCTTAACAATGAATGAATTGTACGACCATTTATATTATTTGCAGCTGTTCCAGTTGGAGCACATACAACAACACAATTTGAATTTAAAACTCTTGCACAAAATAATTGTATGTATGCAATAATAACTTTTGTAGTAAAAGTTTTACCTACACCAGCTCCACCTGTTAAAAATAAATGAAACGGTAACTCATTCTTCTCAAATTTAGATTTCACAAAACAAAATGCCTCTAACTGGGATGGTGTTAATCTCTTCACACTTTCTCGAAATTCAACAATTGACATTGAGCAAGAAAAGCTGTGCATATGCAAATCATCATCAAATACTTCTGTTGCAATTTTATTTGTATTTGAAGTTCCAGATTCATTCGCATCAGCAAAGAATAAAGTTTCTAATACAAGATCATTATTCAAGAAAAACAAAGTGTCATTTTTGGCGTTTTCAGTAGATGAGTTACAAGATAATTCTTACATCAATTTCAGCTTCCGAATTGTATTTTCAATTTGTTCCGTGAATGAAAAGTTAATGAAATCAATGCTTGTATTGAATAATTGTCTCTTATTAATAAATGCTTCTTTAGTGTTGGAATAAGGATGAACAAGCTCATTTTCAGATTTGTGTGGCAATAATAAAAGTAGCATGGAATAAAAATGATCATCTGAAGATGGAGGAAAATGTGGAAAACGAACAACACTTGGTTTTTTGCATTTCTTCATAACCACATCATACTTCTCAATATAAATACGAGACAGAGAAACTCTCTTTGGCATTTCATTGCTACATTTCTTGTACCAGGAACAAAACTTGAATAAACACATATCACTTAATTCCACAGGTCGACAATGATAATAATCAATTATATTTGTCTGAAACACTTCTGTAGAATTATCATCAAGAATTTCAATTTCTTTTCTACTTTTTAAAATCCTGTATCTTTTACTTGGTTGTCTTGTATTCAGATAAACAAAACACCTGGTTACATGAATTAAATTCAAATTGCTTAATCTGTAAGCAGCTTCTTGGGAACTCAATCGCCTATGGCGCAAAACTGTTAGTCCTATGCCGTGGAATAGGACTTTCTTTAAAAATGTTGTGAATTAGTTGACCCAGCGCATTTTTTAACTCATCTGGCTCTGACTTGCAAATATAACTACACACATAATATGCTGCACCCTCAGCATTACAAATCATCTGGATATCCATATTTGCTCTCCAGTGTCTTAATATATCAGGATTGTATGAATTTATCATCACATCTTTACTTGTTCTTTTTGTTGTGTAAAACTTTCCTTTATTCTTATTAGACAAATTTATATTTCCGACAACACTAGTCTTTTCACACTCTCGTTTTGGAAAACCAAATCTACAACATGACTTAAACCCTTTACTACAGTAGGAAGTATGAGAATGACTTTGTAATGTAGTCACTAACTGAAACATTTCAGCATCATGCTCACAGTTAGGAATAACAGAACATATTGTTTTATGTATATAATGAATGAGTGTTGGAATTGTTAAATTTGAAATTTCATTGGGAACATCTTCAATCCATAAAAACATATGTATGTGTGGGCTTCCTTTATTTTGAAATTCTACCCTTGCAAAGTAATCCATAACTTTACCTAAAGGATATTTATTACTCTGAATTACATATTTCATTAAAGACTTAAATCTGCGTTCAAAGTGTATTGCAGTCATTAAAGGATCACTTCTCATACCATTTCCAAAACTTTTCCATTGTTTAGCTTCATCAAAATCAATATCATGTAACATTATTCCTAATTCTGGCCAATGCAAATCATCTGCTGACAAGGTCATGAAAAGTGTTGGTGGACCTAAACATCGAAACATCGCCAGTAAATTATATAATTGATTTCTGAAATAAGCCACAGTTCCACGAATATTTTTCATGAACATGTAAGAATTTTCTTTCAACTCGGCATTATTCTGCAAATTTTTGACATCACATGCATTAACACACTCGGCACTATTTTGGCCCTTCCTTATTCGCATGTTTATATTTATCTCTGATTTCAGAGAGGCAAGATCAAATGAAACAGCAGAATGTAACAGATAAGTCAAATCTTTCCTGAAATTTCCATTTTTGTTATATAACCTGTATTTGAAATACATAGATCTTGAAATTTTCTTAGGTCTATTGTAATTTAAACCATTTTTACCACATGGGAAGAGCCAAGGAAATGCCATTTCCTCACCACTTTCCATTTCGTACACTCTTACAGGTTTTTCTGAAATATGAGGTACATTAATTATGCCCTCATTTCCAAATACAGAAATGTCGTTAGGTACTGTACTATTCATTGGTGTAAGTGTAGCACTTTCCATATCAAAATCTTGAAAATTATCCATTTCTTTGTCTGTCAATAATTTTTCATTTTCTTCAGAAATAGCAATGTGTTCATATATTAAGTTATTTCTTTTCAACCATAAAAGTGCCTTTTTAACTTTACTGGGGGAAACAAAATATTTGAAATTTTCAGATTCCACATAACCTTTGTGTTCATAATTTACTACAAAAAAAACATCCGTCATTAATACTTTCAGGTAGTTGATTTGCAATAACTTGCACATTTGTTGGCAAGTTTAGAATTAACCCTTTTTCAGCCATCTGACCCCCTGGTAAAATAATCACTGTCATAAATATTTGAATCATTGCAATTAATCTTTTTTCAATTAATGACAGATTTCGCAGTTCTGAAGGAATTTCAAATATTTTTAAACAGCTTCAGTGGATAAATATGGAACTTCTTTTTTCTTAATTGAAGAATGACAAGTTTGACACAACACATCACTTCCATTAGTTGTTACATGCGTTAAGTTTTTTAGCTCTGTATTTTTTAAATTGTGTGTCTGGTTTTGAAATAAAAATCTGTCACAACAAGCACATGAAAAAGTTGGACGTTCTCTTATTCTACTCTCATAAGCATGAACATGATTTTTATCATGCAAATAATTCAAATCAGGTCGTGTAGGATATGCATCTGATATTGTAGAAAAACATGACACACTATCAAAAATGTTAAAACTGCCACCACTACTCTCGTCTTTCAGTATCAGATTGTGTGCAGATCTCTCACTATCTTCAAAAGACACATTTTCATGAAAGTACTTCTGAGGAACATTAACTGCTTGTTCTACTTGCTTTCTCTTGTTTTTCTTCATTGAAGAAACTGTTTTGTTTGATAATTTACAATAATTATGAAAATTATTTTTACTACTACAATCATAACTGGTAAAATCTGAAATTGTTTTGCTGCACGCAGATTGCCTTTCTCTTTGCTCTTCACACAAGTTATTTATTTCATCTTTATTTGAAATCATCCTAGAATCAAAATTGTACCAAGGAAAGTGCAACGGAGTTATATCATATCTCATATTGCTATTAACAACATCATGATCAACGCCATAATATCTGTCAAAATAATACTCAATTTCACCAGGTAACCCGTTCCACGAATATAATGTTGATGGTAAATCTCTATGAGATAAATAACTATACTCACGACCAGAGGACAAAATATGACCATAAAAATTCGTACCGTTCGCAACAGTTTGATTCAAATCACTGGGAGATAAATTTCATAAATCAGGCATATGTTTAACAAACATGAGCAGGGCAACTAAAGATATCGCAGTACATTGTACACCATTATAGGGTTGGAACTGGGCACAGCCTTGATGACAATTTGCTAACAAACTTCTTACCATTTTCTCTGTCAGCCTGAGTACCGCACTGTAACCGCAACCACGTGTGTCGAGAATGTGTGCGATAAATACCGTAATCATCCGAATGCACAAAAGAAAGCGCGGGAAGGAAAATTATTGTTGGTACTAATATTGTGTATACCGATCCCGATACATTGTGTTGACAACAATGAAAAAACTCCGATATTTTCCGAATAGATTATCAATGCCATGACCTACTTCACATTTACGAGCAAAACAACAAAATGTAATGTTTTTTAAAATGTTTTTGACGTATTCATAATATTATTATAAGCATGAAAATTTACTTAATATTATATACATGAAACTTTACTTTTAATACATAAAAATAAGTGTAAATAGTAATTCTGAAAAAAAAAACCTATCCCGCAGAAACGCAGCCACAGTTTCTAAATGTATATCAAATAACGGACCGCCTCCTGGCGGCCCGTAATAAACCATTTTTCCCCAAAATATTTGAATTTGCTTTGTTTTTATATTAAATCCATAAAATTGTTTTTAATGCAACTTTTGTGAATAGTCATGCGTAGAAATATAAACGAAGAAACTCGCGCTTAAGTGAAATCGCAGTGAGCTACAGAGACAATAAAAAATTTGACGGTATAGGGAAGTGAGATATTCGAACATTGAGTGTACTTTTGCTGCTTTTAAATGCAAACAAAAAGAGTGTTTTAAAAATTTCAATTGTGTGAATTATAGGTTTGTAAATCACACAGACTTTCACATAGGAGAAGGAAGCTAGCGTGCTTCATGAAATATGCCTACATGAAAAGCCTGTGATTTTCACACCATAACTCACACAAAGCTTACAAACATTTAAGAAATAAACAACAATGTTAAAAAGTTTTCTGGGAAATGAACTTGGTTGGTCACGTGATCAAATCCTGTGAAGCCCGAAGGGCTTCTCAGAAGATTTGATCACGTACCAACCAAGTTCATTTCCCAGTGAACTTTTTAACATTGTTGTTTATTACTTTTATTTACATTTGAGACGAATATTCTGAAAAGAACTGCATTTATTACGCGAACGGGCCGCCGTATTGCTATGTTGTGACGCGCAATGACCTAGAAGCTGTTTGGTCTTGAGAGTTCGCCTCGCTCCAACATTTGAATATTTACATTGATGTTCAGCAGTCCAGTTTAGGAAATATCTGTTCATAGTGAAAAACAATGATCGCTACTGGGAATAATCTTACTATTATTGTATGAGTTCTTTATATATGAAATCAAATGCGGTGCTATCGTCTTCAGTTTACATGTAACTTCAAAGGAATTTCGGGTTAAAAAGGTAAGCGTGATTTTAGGCTAATTAGAAACATTCTTCACACCGAAGAAAGATCTAATGATCATTTGTTGAACGAAAAAAAATATAGGTTTCAATAATTTTATCTTTTTCATCGCTTTAACGGCTTCGAAGTTCTGAAACCAGTGTCACTGTGACAGAAATATGTAGACAAGATATCGTCTCACTGTGTGATTCGGTCACGCCATGACCTCTGACCCCCAAATAAAGTTCATACAGAATTGAACATATTTTCTCTTCAATAGGTTCATCTAAGAAAAAATATTTGCAAATGTAAATAATTATAATTAAATATCAGTATTCCTACAATGGCACGCTGTACTAGTCCGTATTATATATAAGCCTATACTTATTAAATCATTCATGCAGAAAACAATCATAAATGATCGTACTGGAGCAGGGTTGGCAAAAAACTGGGAAATACTCATATTTCCCAGGACGGTGGGAAATACTGGTAATTACCGGGAATTACTGGTATTTCCCGGGAAATACTGGGAAATAAGAAAAGCTCCATATTTCATTCATATTGGCATGTAGTACGTACCCCTTATTGGTTAAATTATCTATCTGGTATCACTGCCCTGATTTAAAAAATTCTGTTTTCAAGTAATTCATTTATATAATCATAACACAGCATACTCATATACCAGTCATGAGTGTCATTTGTTTAATGCTTGAGTCAAATGTAGTCTATAAATGTCCAATGAACCCAAAGATCCCCATAGGGTTTTTTTATGTAACAAAAAAAGGATCAGAATCTATTAAAGTGAATTGTTAAATGTAGAGTATGGTCTAAATATCTTTCTTTCTTCGTTACTGTTACTTTAAGCTTTGCAACTTATCAGTATATACAATATGATACAAACAGATACAGTACAGAAATGGATAATAATATCAAACCTAAGAAGCCATTCTGTTCTACTCAAGGTAATTATCTCTCAAAACAGGAGCACAAAACTGTCAAGAGCAATTTGTTAAAACAACATGATTGATTGTAATAACTCTGTTTAAAGAAGGATTAAAATGAGTTTGTTTTGTTCTTGGATTTATTAATAAACTTAATAATTTTACAAAACTGAAAAGAAACTTGAATTGTAAAACTTCAGTTTCATACAGTCAGGGAAATGTTTTGGAATGCTTATGGGTATGGGACCTGGAGTAGTGATACATTCTGAATATGTTAAAATTGCAATTTGAGACATAATCAATATTATTCAACTTCTGTTTCAATGTAAATTTTATTTTTGAATTTTGTATAAGACTGAATGAATTAAAGAAATAAAAATCTTTAACTTTGTATTTCCCAGTATTTCCCAATTTTTCCCAGTTTAGAGAAAACTTGTAGTATTATATTTCCCAGGACGGGAAATACCGGTATTTACCACTGGTAATTCCCACTACTGGTATTTCCCGGCCAACCCTGTACTGGAGGTTTGTTGAGAACATGGAGACACAAAAATCCTCTTTCTCTTGCTGTTTTGTGTCCTTGTAATAACTCTTCTCTCAACTTTCTTAATATGCAAACTTTGTGTCTTTGCTTTCACACTGGTTACAATCGTTTTAAACGTTTCGCTTGTGTCTATTATCCTTTTCAAAAATCTGTAACATGCTGTGCAAACATAGGATCCATAGTTTTGTTCGCTTACAAATGGACTATTATAAACTTTGCTGACAATTTCAAAACCGGGTCCCTTGTCACATGCTTTCTTTATAATATAAAATTCTTGGGGAGATGAAGTAGAGAAGGACACAGTACGACACATACAATCAATTGAATAGTCGTATAGTTTGATTTCAGTGGGGTCACCAGTAACCATAATGATGAAAGTAATAAATTGCCCTCTGTCGGTAATGGTCTCTACCGTGATAGGCTCTGCTCGTCGTCAGCCGAGCGTCTGGTTGAACGAGACTGCGGTGACACCTCTTTTTGTAGTCGGTAGGAATTTACTTCGTATGATTTAACCATATTTAAACCTTACGTTAAACATTAAGTTAACCGTATTTGGTTCGTCTACAAGTGATCTTTTAAATACATTATGCGCCCTTGATGGGGAACAAGAATTAAGGGGAGAAGTGTGCAGTATTTCTTTCTTTCATTATATATATATAAATTAGTTGATTGCACAGTATATTTTATGCCTCTACTGGACATTTTCGGTCGGTGAATTTCTACAGCTCTCAGCTACTATGGATAAGAAGTGTGGAAACCATCTTGTGCAAAAAATGAAATAACTAATACAAACAACTGATATAATCTAATCAACCAAAATGGTTATTGGATGCATTCGATACGGCATTTTTTAATGATTCAAAACAAAAA